GAACTACTAGCAGTTTGCCAGACAGGGAAGGTAAAACACACTAAAAGAAATAAGGCAGTTTGCTAACACATATTTTGCTCTCACCAATCATCAGTATCTTCCATTAAGGGGCAAACTATTTCTGCCAAAAACACACTAATAATAACGTAACTTTAGAAATAGAAACAAAAGACTTTAAAACAACAGTAATCTTTGTTATCAAAGGAACATTTTTTACAGTTAATTTTACGTAACACTGTATTTTTGATTTTTAACCTTTGTTATTTTTCACTATTATATTTTTAAAGATTTATTATTTATTTATTTTATTTTATTTTTGGCTGTGCTGGGTCTTAGTTGTGGCACGCGGGATCTTTCGTTGCGGTGTGCGGGCTTCTCTCTAGTTGTGGTGTGCGGGTTTTCTCTTCTCTAGTTGTGGCGCGCAGGCTCCAGGGCACGTGGGCCCCAGGGCACATGGGCTCTGTAGTTTGAGGCACGCAGACTCTCTAGTTGAGGCACATGAGCTCAGTAGTTGTGGCACGTGGGCTTAGTTGCCCCGCGGCATGTGGGATCTCAGTTCCCTGACCAGGGATCGAACCCGTGTCCCCAGCATTGAAAGGCAGACTCTTTACCACTGGACCGCCAGGAAAGTTCCTGTTATTGATTATTATTTATTGATTTTAAAAAATATACCAAAAATCTGGCAGTAAAAAGATGTCTTTTACTCTGACGGACCAACAGAAAAATAAGAAAAGCAAGAAAAAAAATGGCAAGAGGTATAGAGTTGAGGGAAAGTTATGTCTTACATTTCCTTATCTTGAACCACTGGACATATGAGATTATGTCTACTTTTAAGTAGACAAAACAATACATACTAGACATGTACAGTTTTATTTCGCTTAAAATTTTCAGAGTAATAAATATAAAAGAGGAAAAATAGAAGAGTTTAAAAAAATCCTTAAATTTAGGTCATAAGCTATGGACAGGAAAGGCAAAAACACACCTGTACAACCGAAAATTTGTGTTGTTAATTAATCTCCTATACTTTCCCTAACTCTAAGATTAATTCAACTTATCTAATTTACTGAACTACTTACATAATTATTATTATATCATTTAAGGCAAGAAAGACCGGGAAAGGCCACCTAATCCTTGTGGCAGTTGTCTGAAATGGCATGGTTTCACTGCCAGACCAAACTAAAACCAACAAAGACATTTCAACACGCACCAGTTGAAAATGTGACCTATGACAGGCTTCATGGCCCAGTTTCTGGACTGTTGATAAACCAAATCACAAGTCATGTTTCTAAGTGATAAAAGCTATAAAATCCTGAAAAACTATTTACAAACAATAAAGAATATTAAATATGAACAAAGAATACCCCATCATTGTGGGTGTGGGCCGGTGCATGCATGCACTATACAGACACACTTGTGTTGGTGAAAATGGGATGGGAAAGGTGACAAAATTTTAGGTCACTTCTGTGAAGAGCAAGCCTAGACAGAAAAATTACAAAGGACTTTAGACAACCTGAATGTATATTATAAGTGATCATGACAATGTAAATTCACCTAATGTATAATTTTCCTGATGGTCCTGATGACAGAAAATAACATGTCCAAACAAGAATCACCTCTGGCAGTTGTATCATGCAATGCCAGGATCTTATCTATCTATTTGTAAGGAGGTCATGCTGAAAACCTAGACAGAAAAGAGCAACATCAAATGAGTCAATCTGGCTTTACTGGCTCACAGGACAAGAATTAGGGATGCTTACTTTGAAGTTTTATTAGGTGATCAGAAATGGGAAGTCATAAAGAATGGCTCTGTTGGTAAGTAAAATGTGAAAAATGAGAACAGATACTCATAGGCATGAAAATTAACATCCTATAGAAATTAAACTTTTTATTTAAATTATAACAATTTTATCAAATAGAAATTTCATTCAGTAAAAATGAAAATGTAAAATTAAATGCAAATCTAAATGTAGAAATGCATAAATCTAAGAGACAAGTGATAGTTTATTAAATTGACATGCTAACAGCAATGATTTGGCTTTTAAAATTACATTCTTATCTAAGAACATCTTCCAAAATAAAAGCAAAGTTCATGAACAGCTGTAGACAAAAAACATATCTAGATTAAGCCATGGATCAGTTAGTGGACCATAGTAGAAGAAAACAGATGTACGTCTCTGCAATATATGATGCCTACATTGCTATACTGGATTACACGTCCATTAAACATCTGTGTTCAATACTGCAGGGTATTTTCTTTTTTCGGCCCTTCCTTGTTGAAAATACTTTTAAAAATAGAAAAAAAGTCTATGCTATAGCTTGAACTTGGATTATTCTAGATTTTTGCATCCTGACTGATGTAAAAAAAAAAAATCAAAGACAGAGGATTCTATGCAAGGTATTTTAATTTTAAATGCTGCTTCATGAAAATGTGGCTTTAAAATAAATTTAGAGTAGTCAGTTGTTTGCCACTTGCCCATTGTTTAAGCCAAAGTAGGAATATCTAAAAAAAATCTTGAATATATTTTAGGAAGCATACCTTCTCCTTGTTTAATTATGTAATTAGAATTTTCCAGCTTCTCAGCTCAGAAATCCGAGTAGAAGTACCAAAGTTAGAAGGGGACTTACTTATAGAAGATACTATAAATGATACTGCCAAGCCACAAAGATGATTCGGTAACTGCCTTAAATTACAGTGTCTAATGCTCCACCTAACATGTTTAACACAATCTGCTAGACTCCAACCTCATTGATGCTTACAAGGAAAAGGCAGATAGTAAGATAATGCACACTCTTAAGTTATACCTTTGTGAAGAGGAAGAAAGAAAGTTCTTAGTTACCACTTCCTGGACACACATATTTGTTTCCCTTACTAAAGGGTTTCTGAAAGCACCTTGGTTCCAAACAACTGACCCCTTTCATCTCAGGTTCCAGTGACTCAGTATTGTTTCTGTGACACTGCCTTCCCGATAAAGGCAGAGATCATGCCTGACTAATCTTCCAAAATGAAAGGTGTCCTTTACATCAATTAGAGTCTAACTACAAGAGTTAGAGGAACAAAACGAAAAATCACTGATCCAGGGCTAGGTTCGCACAGTGGATGCTGGAATTATGACAAGTGGGAATTGGAGCCACAAAAGAAACAGCTTCTGTCAGCAACACCACTAGAGACAAAAGAGAAGTAGAGAAATGCCCAGTCTTCTCCCTTCCATAAATCTCCCATTAGTGTTTGCCATTAGAGTCCCCAAACCCAATAGAAGTCGGCTGCCACAGGAGCCTAGGAAAAGCCACCTGCAGCGGTAGCCCTTCTCCAATCAGACAGAAGAAAAAAGAAGGATGTCAAATGGATCTGAGGGCAAAATAAGCCCAAGACCAGCATACCTTCCAGTAAAGTTCACATCATAATTGTAACAATCTCATAATTTCACTCAACCTAGCTAAGTTATCATTTATTATTATACCAACTGGCTCTAAGATTTCAATTGCATATTAATATTTCTAGACCACATTTCAAGTTCTGAAATGAAAATTCCTAGAACATCACTACCCAGAAGGATAATTCTGCTAGGCAGGGCAAGAACTACTCAGCTAGTTAACTGAGGTGACAGGAAGTTTAGTGAAGTCTATCTTTTAGTTTGCTTCAAGTGTAATTTGGGTTAATTTTAAAGATGCATTTTCCAAGAAAAATAAAATGGTCCCTAGAGAAATGAGGATTATGTCAGCCAACATTTAGTATAAACTACTTAAAGTTGTTGCCAAGCAGATGCCTCAAATGTACTTTCTCCAAAACACCTTTTTGTAGTCTTTAAAAAGATGCTGAATTTTTAATTATACTAAATTCATTCCTTCTCACTCAATTCATAAGGGAAATCAGGGTGCTGATACAAATTATTTGGCATAAGAAGAATACTGATATTGTGATCAAGAATTGTTAAAAGCCAAGCCTAGCATGAAAAAATCAACACACTGTTTCACATGCAAAACAGTAACTGCCAACAACAGTGACTCTCACCGGCTCTAAATTAAAACCACTACATTAAAACTGAACATTTCAAAAGCTTCCTGAAGTCAGTGCAATTTTGCTAGAATTATTATTTTCTATGTTTATTCAAAATTTATAGAAAATTGTAAAGCAAAACTCATTCTTTTTTTTTTTTTTAACATCTTTATTGGGGTATAATTGCTTTACAATGGTGTGTTAGTTTCTGCTTTATAACAAAGTGAATCAGTTATACATATACATATGTTCCCATATCTCGCAAAACTCATTCTTTTCGAGAAGTTTTGATAAATTCATTTAATGAAAATACATGTTATCAAATACTTCTTTTTAAAAAAAGCTTAACAACTTCCAAATGGTTAAAAAAAAAATCTTCGTATATCTGGAAATAATATATACTTGTCTTAATTGAAGTGGCGTATCAGTGAGTTAAATCAGTTGACAATACCATTAGTTTTACTTTACAGACTCTTTAAAATAAATACTCTAGTCTTGATCTGTGGTTTCAAAAGCAAATTATAAAGCTATATATTGTACCTTAATTTTATTATCTTAATAATGCCAATAAATTCTATTTTATGTGATAAAGGACACGGATTACATGACCTAACAGATCAGAAAGATAGGATATTAAGTATGACAGCAACAGTGGCAACATCACATTATTCTGACATAACAGTCTTAGGAAATCCTTAACTAGTCCTTGTAGGCTTTTAGGAAAACATATTTAGGTCTCTACAAATCTAGAAAGTAGAAAAATAATAATTCTTTATTATGACTTTAAAAGCAAAAAGGCTAATTTACCCTCTTCTTTAAAAAATTATAAATGGCCAGTAAAGAAGTGCCATTTCAGAATAAACTACCATAAAAAGACTGTAGCTGTTTTTAAAATAATGCTACCATTTTGCCATTTATCAAATATAATTAAACGCAGAAAACCTGCTACTTTATTCATTGCCTTCTTTAAAAATTAATGAAAGTAGTTTTCTCTGCAAACACTTACCATCCACTCGGATATAATAACGTCCACTTTTTCTACAGGAAGACGAACTTCTTCGATTTTTCCTTTAATTAGCATAATAGTATCTTCAAGTTTATTTAGTCTGAAAATTGTCATAATGAATTAAATTAGTATGTTAAACAGATTCTGAAAACTAGTCAAATTACATAATTTCTTGGCAACCGTTCATTTTAGTTTATGGAACCCAAAGGTATGTTTTTTCAAAGTTTATTTATTCTCTGGGCACTGTAATTGCTTTTTGGTCACATCATGAACCCCCCAGAATGTTTCTGGTTAATACAATAATACAACTAAACCAGCATTTAAAACTACAGCATGAAAAGAAACCCGAATTCTATTCAAAATACATGTCAATAAAGTTAATGGGTCTTTTTTTTTTTTTTAAAGGGAGAGGTGGAGACAGACCAGACAACAAAAGTATATTTTAAAGGGAAGTAGTGTGTCACAGTGGAGAGACAGTTAGGGCCAGAGCTCTTACACTGATTTCCAGGTCCTCTAGCACTTGTCTGCTAAGTGATCTTCACCAAATTATGTAACAATCTCACTGAGCCTGTGTGTTCAGGTGTAAAACAGAAAGATGATACCTTCCCTAACTACTTCACAGTCTATTATGAGGATGAAATATTTGTGAAAGCTATGTACACATCCTCAAGCCCTATATAATGGTAACGTATTATCATGAATAACAAAATACCGTATGCTGTGTAAAACTTGAAATTCTCCTCCCATCATAAATAATTTAACCTTGTCTAATACCATTCATTAGATATTTTTACATGCTTGATCACTAGATTAGCACATATTTTTCACCCCCTCCTTTTGCAATTTCAAATAAACAACAGAGTTAAAGAGATAATTCCAAAAAGCTAAAAGCAAGCTACTAAGCTTGTATCTAATTAAATAAACTCACAACCTTCAAAGGATGTACATCTGAATTATAAAGGATTTCTTCTGCTAACAAAGGAGGGATTTTCCACCCAAATTTCACTGAGGTATTATATATGTAAGATTAAATGCATTTTAAGGGTAAATTTTGTTGAATTAAAAAAAAAACAGATATACTTGGGTGACCACCACCACCACTATCAAAATACAGACATTTCTATTTTCTTACAAAGATTCATTAGTGCTCTTTCAAGAAAATCCTCCCATCCACAGGCAAGCACTGATTTCTTTCTTTTACTACATATTAAAATTTGTATTTTGGGGACTTCCCTGGTGGCGCAGTGGTTAAGAATCTGCCTGCCAATGCAGGGGACATGGGTTTGAGCCCTGGTCTGGGAAGATCCCACATGCCGCGGAGCAACTAAGCCTGTGTACCACGACTACTGACACTGAGCTCTAGAGCCCACGAGCCACAACTACTGAGCCCACGAGCCACAACTACTGAAGCCCGTGTGCCTAGAGCCCGTGCTCCACAACAAGAGAAGCCGCCTCAGTGAGAAGCCCACGCACTGCAACAAAGAGTAGCCCCCGCTCGCTGCAACTACAGAAAGCCCGCGCACTGCAACAAACACCCAACGGCAACCATAAATAAATAAATTTTTTTTTTAAAGTTTGTTATTTTGTAGAGTTTTACATAAATGGAATCATACTGAATGTACCCCTTTGTGTCTGGTTTCTTTCAAAAAGCATACTTTTTAGATTCATGCATATGTTTCTGTATATCAGTAGTTCTATTCCTAGGTATTGTTGAGTAGTATTCCACTGTATGAATAAAACACTTTTGTTCACCCACACACCTGGGGATGGAATTCTGGATTATTCCAGCTTTGTACTATAATGAATAAAGCTGCTATTAACATTTATGTACAAGAACTGCTCTGTTAAATGGAAGTGACAGAACTTTTTAGGAAACTGCAATTTTGTTTTACAAAGTTCATATACAATTATACATTCCAACAAGCAATATATGAGCATTCCTTTTTAAATTTTTGAATTTTATTTTTTTATACAGCAGGTTCTTATTAGTCATCAATCTTATACACATCAGTGTGTACGTGTCAATCCCAATCGCCCAATTCAGCACACACACACGCCCCCCGCTGCTTTCCCCGCTTGATGTCCATACGTTTGTTTTCTACATCTGTGTCTCAATTTCTGCCCTGCAAAAAGGTTCATCTGTACCATTTTTCTAGGTTCTACATATATGCGTTAATATACGATATTTGTTTTTCTCTTTCTGACTTACTTCACTCTGTACAACATCCACATCTCTAAAAATGACCCAATTTCATTCCTTTTTATGGCTGAGTAATATTCCACTGTATATATGTACCACATTTTCTTTATCCATTCATCTGTCGATGGGCATTTAGGTTGCTTCCATGACCTGGCTATTGTAAATAGTGCTGCAATGAACACTGGGGTGTATGTGTCTTTTTGAATTATGGTTTTCTCTATAGCTTCACAACCTAGTCATCTTAGTATTGCTGATCTTTTAAATTTTAACTGTGTGTTAAGATCTCATCATGGTTAAAAGTTGCATTTTCCTAATGACCAAGTATTTTTTCCATATGCTTACTGGCCATATTCCCCTATCATCTTTTGTTCAAATTTTTTGCCCATTTAAAAAATTGGCTCAGTTGTCTTCTTATTATTGAATTTTAAGAGTTCTTTACATCTTCTGGATAAAAACCCTGATGGATTTAAGTACAGTGAATATTTTCTTCCATTCTGTGGCTTTTTCATTTTTTTAATGATATGTTTGAAGAGCTAAAGTTTTTAATTTTGATAAAAACCAATTTATCATATTTTTCTTTTGAGGTTCATGCTTTTGGTGACATATCTAAGAAATCTTTGCCTACATCAAATATTTTCACCTATGTTTTCTTCTAAATTTTTTTTAGTTTCCATTTTAAGTTATTTTTTCCAATATAGCATCATGATCATTATTTTCATATATAATGAAAAAACTTTGCTGGAAAAACTATCACAAGTGATAGTTTCAACTTTGTTGAAGAAAAAGTATTACCAACCCATGGAATTACTTCAGAATCGTTGTCAAAAATCAGTTAAACATAATGTGTAAGCTTATTTCTGAACTTCCAATTCTGCCCCAAGGTTTAGATGCATATCCTTATGCTAATACAACAGTTTCTTGATTTTTATAGCTTTAAATCAAGTCATGAAGTCTGACATTGTATGTCCTTTAACTTTATTCTTCTTTTAAAATTCTTTTGGATATTCTAGGTCATTTGTGTTTTCCATATGAATTTTAGGATCAGCTCTCAGACAATATGTAAACAAAACAGCATTTCTATGTCCCAATAGGAAGTAATGAGAAAAGAGAATGGACATATCTCGGTGAGTGAATAAGGATCAGACTGTCAAATCTGACTCACATAAGCCAGAGATTTTACCCAGTGTCAGGCTTCACAAATAATTTCAAAAATACGGGCAATTAAGAGGTCCAGACTATCAGGGAGAAGTCTGGGACATGAAAAGCAACTTCTTTATTCTTCCCTTCCCTGTATTAGACATGCACACTCTGGCCTAGAGTAGACAGGCCTCTAAGTAAGGTGCACAGGTTATTAACTTCCACAGTAAGAAGTCCTGCTCTATGTACCAGATTGCTCCCTGCTTTTTCTGAGTCTCTTGATTGCCTGTATCATTGAAATTATTAATAAAACTTAATACTGGATAATCTCTCTGGGTAATCCTGGGTAATCAGGTTTCTGTGTGTCTGATTTGAAAATACTTTATCTCAGAGTAGTGCTGTGAGGAGGACTCATACAGATCCATGAATCAAAAAGGCTGAGGCACTTTGTAGCCAGAAAAAGGAGGAGACTGAAAAATAAGAGGAGGATCTAATCCTGGGATAGCTGCCTACTCATCCTTGGTATGAAGTGGCAAAACTGAGATTCAGAGAAAGTAGCTACTGGCCTGAAAGGCAGCAGCAGGCAGAGAGGAAGGCAGTAAAAAATTACACTATCTGGCGGTTACTAGCATTTCTGAAAAAATGCCAGTCTTTTCAGAGAAGAGATGATGGCAAGAGAAAGGACCAGAAGAACAGTTTTTCCTCTCACTGGAAGGCCTTCTTATGCTTATATGGCTGCCTGGGAAGATGAAGTATCCACTAAGAAAGTAATGAACTTAAAGCTTGGGGTTACCCCCAAAGACGATACAAACGGAGGAGGACATGGTCAGAGGACTGAGTGCTGAGAATATTTTGTGAAAGAGGACATTTTTGAAAGACATCCCAGAAAATGCTGGTGAAATCATTACTGGCATGGATAAACAATCAGGAGGATACGATCACTTATTTTACATACAACTGAGTAGAAAGGATTACTTGGGTCGATGATAGATCCCTAAGAGGCTGTGAACAGATGCTTCCAGGTGATACAACAACTAAACTACTACAGTGAGTAAGAGCAGGGCTGCAGTTTATCTATCTCAAGAGAGGTAATCCCCTGTCATCACCCCAACCCTCAAGTAGAACAATTCTCTAAAACAGTAGGCATGTTATGCATGCAAGTCAACTTAGACTGGCTTTATGATAACAATATAATTTAATGCTATTGGCAAAGATAAGAACAGATGTGGAAATCAGCAACTCCTCCTTCTTGAGCACTTTATGTAATCTTGTTATTGGGAAGCCAAGAGAATATTCAGGAGGCAGTATCTGATTACTTTGTTCAGTTACCAAGAATAGTACTGCATGATGTTTTTGACATACAAAAGAAAGGGGGCATCAACAGGAGAAAAGACAGAGGGAGGAAACAAAAACCAGCTCACTGAGAGGGGAGTTTAGATAGCTTTCGAAATATGATGTGAAAAAGAGAAATTAGATAACATTTCTACTGAGTTATTAATAAGCTTTGTAGAGAATGGTTCAAATCCTGGTAGTCATTAGGGTCTTCACAGGTTTTTTCTTTGCAGAAATCATTGTAGAAAATGTTGTAAGATTAAAGATACCAGAGAAATACATGGCAAGGAAATACTGACCAATGTCAGAGGGTAAAATGGGGAAGAAGTTGTCAAAACAGCTGACTGGTAGTTCATGCACAGCATCTATTTGGGGATATTCATCCCTTGGATGAATTTTCCATTAAAAGTGACTTAATGGGCTTCCCTGGT